CCCCTTCCCCTGGCCATCCATCCACCCACCTGTCCACTTGCTCATCTGTCTACTAATTGTCCTCTGGATGGATCAGTGGAGTGGGGGTGCTGAGAGCCACTGAATCAAACTGTAAACCCTTTATAGGACAGAAAAAACTTCACCTCCAGCACCTATGCAATTTACCCCTCTACCCATCAGTCTGTCGAACTGTCCATCGCCTGCATGCAGATGTGCATCTGTCCATCCACCTGCATAAGTCTGTCCATCCTCTGATCTCTCCATGCCTATGCATGTCTGTCCATCTATCTAGTCACTCAGCTGCCCATCCAGCTGTCTACTCATCCCTCTGTCCTTTCTCCCAACCCTGCCAGTGACCTGTTACCAACCAGCTTCTTGCTGATGCTTGTCACAGCATCCCCTGAGCCCCTGCCACCAGCTGCTTCTCCCCACATCCCCTCTCCTGACACCTGATAAGGATCTAGCATGGCCACCCTCTCCTTTTGCCTTGAGCATCTGCAGTTCCCCTTCTCCTGGCATCGTGCTCCTGGGTGTGGGCTCTCTGGGACGTCTGGGCTTGCCTCTGTAACACCGTTGGCTCTACTCTCCCCAGGATCTTCAGCCAGGCCTGATTCTATGCCTGCAGCCCCCCGAGATATCTGATCCTGACACAGAGCTCCCTGACTCAAGGCCTCTGGCTCTGTGAGAGGGTCCTGGGTCCCTGCGTTCCTCCTGAACCTCTGCGCCTCCAAGTAGACAGCTGAGCTGGAGAGCTGCTACCCCACCCACCACATTGAGGGGTATCTGGCGAAAGTTGTCTGGGCTCTCTGGACCGCATGGGCTTCTTCGCCCCAGTCCATTGACTCTGCCTCTCTAGTCCCAGGGCAGGGGCTCAGCAGTCTGTATGCGCAGCTTCCATTCCCCCAGGAGAGGGTGCTAGCCCCCACTCACCTTCCCAACATCCTCAGGCCATGCCCCTGTGGGATGAACCCCAGCCCCTGTGACCCCAGCAGCTGCTGGAGTCACACCTCTCCAGGCCACCTAAAGAAGCAGGTGAATTAATTCTAATCAATTGTTGAAGTTCCCATCATTGTCACTAGATGCCACTGTCTGCCAAGGCACATCATGTGGCTGCTAGGCACACTTGCTTTGTCACACAGGATGTCACTTGCTCACACACACACCCAGAGCACACTCACAGCCTCACACACATAGAGGGCACAGGCACCCCCGTGTAGCGCTCTCGCACCAAGTATGTCATGCATACATCCAAACACCTGTGCACACACAGGTCGCCCCAGGTGTGTGGCGTGCACACACGGGCCATGCCATGTGTGTGGCGTGCACTCAGAGCACCACTGCAGCAGGTGTGTTGCACACACACACTCTTCACCTCTCATTACGCACCCTGCTCTCTCAGGCATGCTACATGATGCCCAGAACTGCTGCCCCCAGGTAGGTGGGCAGGAGCAAAGCCCTCTCCCTACAGTACCAGAGTTGGTCTATAAGGGGTTCTCGGCTCCAGGGGCATGGGATGGGATTCCTCCTCCTGGGTGGCTTTCTCCCAGCACTGTCTCCTGGCAGTGCCCAAGCAGGGGACTCTGACCCCCAGGGGCACAATTTCATATTTTGGTTTAGGGGAGCAACTTTAACCGTGATTCCAGGGGCTATGTAGGCACTTGAAAACCTTAGTTTTCTGGAAGATCATTTAGAAGTTAGCAGGCACGGGCGCTGTATCTCATTCCTATATTTAAAATAAGACAAATAAATATTAGACCCACTCAGCTATAACAACAACATGTTCTGGCCTCTTGCGGCAAGTCACTTAAGGGACATTGTTTAGATTTTTTTATATGGTCACGTTGTTACTAACTCTGCAGAGAGAGAGAGAGAGAGAGCGAGAGACCCCATCAGAACTCCTGGGTGCTAGCTCAGCTCTGGGAGGGATGTAGGATCCAGTGGAATACAGCAGGGGGCAGATACATCTGGGTTCTATATAAGAACATCAGAATGGCCACATTGGGTCAGACCACTGGTCAGTCGAGCCCTGTATCCTGTCTTCTGTCAGTGGCCCATGCCAGAAGCCCCAGAGGGAGTGAACAGAACAGGGAATCATTGAGTGATCTATCCCATCACCCATTCCCTGTTTCTGAATAACAGAAGTGAAGGATATGCAGAACATGTCCATTGAGGGACCTATTGTCCATGAACTTTTCTAGTTCTTTAACGAATCCCACCGTCATAACATTAGTAGGAGTAGTGAACACACTTCATATGAGGATAGGTTAAAAAGACTGAGATTTTTCAGTTTGGTTAAGGGGGAGAACTCTGCCACAATTTGTTGCCCTTCTCTGTAACTTTTCCAAAGTCAATATTATCTTTCTTTTTTTTTTTAGATGGGATGATCAAATCTATACACAGTATTCAGTATGTGGGCATACCATGGATTTATACAGTGGCAATATGGTATTTTCTGTCATATTTTCTATGCCTTTCCTGGTGAGTCCCAATAGTATATTAGATTTTTTGGATTGCTAGTACACATGGAACAGATATTTTCAGACAATGATCCACAAAGACTCTGAGATTTCTTTCATTTAGACCCCGTCATTTGGTATGTTTATTTGGGAGTATATTTTGCCATGTGCATGGCTTTGTATTTATCAATATTGAATTTCCTCTACCATTGTGTTGCCCAGTCACCCAATTTTGTGGAATCCCTTTGTAACTCTTTGCAGTCTGGCTTAGACTTAACTATTTTGAATACATTTTGTATCTGCTTAAATCACTGTTTATCTTTTTTCCCATATTTATGAATGTGTTGAATAGGCCTGGTCCCAGTACTGACCCTGGGGGACACCACTGTTTACTTCTCTTCATTCTGACCAGTTATTCCCAACCTTTTGCCTGGAATACCTGACATTGCTTTTGGGATCATCTAAGGATCCTTATGTCAGAGGGGTAGCCGTGTTAGTCTGAATCTGCAAGAACAACAAGAAGTCCTGTGGCACCTTATAGACTAACAGATATATCGGAGCATAAGCTTTTGTGGGCAAAAACCCACTTTGTCCTTATCTCTGTATATTTCTACCTGCCTCTGGAATTTCCACTACATGCATCTGACAGAGTTCCAATCAAGAGTAAGGTTAGAGAGAACAAGGTCAATTCAGGATCCTTAGTTTACTTTAATGACAAGCCTTCAGTCATCTTAATCACCCTGCCTCTGCTTATAAACACTCTGCCTTAAAAACTGCACTGCTCCCAGCTTCTGAATTCATCACATATCACACTCAGGCTGTGTCTACACTGGCCACTTATTCCGGAAAATCAGCCGCTTTTCCAGAATAACTTGCCAGCTGTCTACACTGGCCCCTTGACTTTCCGGAAAAGCACTGACGATCTACTGTAAAATTATCAGTGCTTTTCTGGAAAAACTGCTGCTCCCATTCGGGCAAAAGTCCTTTTTCCGGAAAACTGTTCCGGAAAAGGGCCAGTGTAGACAGCACAGATTTCTTTTCCGCAAAAAAGCCCCGATCGCGAAAATGATGATCGGGGTTTTTTTGTGGAAAAGCGCGTCTACATTGGCACGGACGCTTTCTACCGAAATTGTGGCTTTTCTCGTCTATTTCAGTGTTAGTTCTAGATCAGCTGTTGAGCGGCCGGCAGAAAAGAAAAAAAGCCGCGGCAGCAGTTTAAACCCCTGCCCCGCTCAAAAAAATTAAAAAAATATGTTAAAAATACTAATTATTTTAATAATTAACGTGTTCAGCCAAGTACAGAGAAACTCTCCAGGAACTACCCAGTCAAATACACAGAAAGTTGAATAGCTTTAGTTCAAAGCCCTTTAA